ACAGTGCAGCTCTCCTCCTCTACGATAGCCCAGGGCCTCAAGTAGCAGGAGGTACTGGAGAGACATCTTTATACCTGTGCAAGGTGAAGTCACCACTCATTCCAAATTTTAATCGAAGTAATCTGAACTTCAATTCCTATGATGTTTACGTAACGAATCCATTATAATTTTTTTCAGAACACTAAGTTGTATTATTCCATTAGGCTGGAAGGAAAAGGAAAAGAAGGAATTCTCTGATGTCTGGTTGAGTGATAATGTCTAATGCCAAGGGTGTGAGGAGCTGATTCTTCATTTCCTTCTACCATTTGTATATATTGTAGTAATTACACACATACGGTATGATAAAACTGGTATGTAGTTGTACTGGCAGTCAGTCTATTGGTAAATGCCAGATACCTGCAGTTTCCTCATATCATACTACGGTTTTTAATTTGAGCTTTCTTTATCTAAGTTGCAGGGTGACTTTAAAACTATTTTTCAAACACAGACCCAGATTCTATCATGGAATACAGGTAGGCCTTTAACATTACTTCAGCCAAGGCTTTGCAGTGAAGGGCCAAAGAGAAGTCTGCAGGGCTTTTTGGAGCAGTTAACAGAAGTCGCATGAAGGCTCACCCTGTAAGCACTGCAAGCCATAGCATGCCAGGTAGCTGGGAGGAATATCAGTGTGTTCTTTGGACTGCACCCCTGTCTTTGAGATGAGCATTTAACTTGCTCTATTTTATACACCTCACTGCAGCCAAATTGCCAATACTTAACAACTGGGCAAAACCCAGCTTTGGACCTGCTAACCCATACTGTTTAGACATTTGCACTTTTTAAGCAACCATAGAGTCTGCATCCTGCCATACCACAACCGTAGCATGTCACACCTGCCTGCACAGTATTTTTTGTTGTTTTTGAGCTTTAGAACCTGTTCTAAATTCAAGCTAAATAATTAGCTACTAGCTCAATTTTACATATGTGTGTATATTTATATGAATATTTAGGTACTCCTAAAACTTGACCCAGGACTTTTATTTCTGTATCCTGAACAAAGCTTTGTGGAGCTTCTATATCTGAGTTAACTAGTACTACTGACAACAACAACAATCAGTTCAGAGAGAACTAAGGATTCTCACTTAAATACACCATTAACTGAGAGATGGGGATGGGAACCAGGCTTCAAGCATCCTCTGGGACCTACAAATTATTATTTCTGAAGCATGGTTTAGTCCTCTTGCAATTGATATCATGACATACAAGCCTAAAGGTTTACTCGTAAATACATTAACTCTTACTGGCTCTGATTATTTGCTGACTACTCCAGCCACAACAACAAAATTATCAGTGCATTCACTTGTCCATTTGACAGCATATTAACACCTGTCAAAATATAAGCCGATTAATACTTTTGTAGAGAAAAGCAACATATAGCATGTCTACTTTCTGTGAAATCACATCAAAGTTCTAATTCCTTATTGAGTGTCTCTAAGTCGGCATCACTGTATAACCAGGACTACTAAAACACAACAATCAGATAAGAATGGCATTAACTTTGTCTTCTAATTTTTGCATTGACTCTAGATGTACAAAACATCGCTGAGTAATGAGTAGATGCTTGCATGCATTTACTTGGAAAACTTAATCTACTTAGAGTGGAACAATTATTGACACCTTTTGCTTGCTTTCATGGAAACCAACTTTCATCAGATAATAAACTGAAAATTCTCTAATTTAATGTTATCATTAGTAAAGATGAAGATGCATTAAATTCATTTGAATTTTTCAGCAATGCTGAGAAGCACTGAGGTCTTTTATGACTTGTCATAATAAAGAAGAAAAAATTATTTTCATGGGGAAAAAAGAAATAAATGGAGCTTTAAAGGAAGGAAACTGCAATGAAGAACAGTTCCTTCTCTAACAAAATTGGTGATTCCTCCTCTGTATTGTCTCTTACGTTGGGCTTGGATTAACTTCTCTCATTGTAATTCCATTTAACATGCCATTCGAACTTGGTTTAGTGCTGACTGGCAATGGTTTGAAAACAGAGCTGCACTATTTTTGCACACTTCAGAAATTAATTTTCCCGGCTAAATCAGTTTTAAGGAGTTGATACTTGGCCAGACATTTCTGTGAATAAAAATATTTTAAATGCACTTGGAATAAGTTAATTAAATAAAGATACTTTAGAAAGAGCTTTTTTGAGTCCCATATGAATTGAGTCTAAGTCTGAATTCAACTTATGGAAGAAAAACTGATAAAATGAGGCCTGGGGAATTTAAAGATACTAAAGTACTAAATAGAAGTAATGGCTCAATAGTGACAATATAGTTAGTTCCATTGTGTAGAAATCTAACAACAGGTCTATTTTATAGTTTCTGACAAGAAAGCAATGAATACCTGGTCAGCTCTGCTCTACCTCTTTTGCAAATAAAACATGAGTAAGTGATAACACAGTTCTGAATAACTGTAGTATTTCATTACTCTGATAAGCTGTGATATCAAGCCCTAACAGCAGAACTTCCACTGAAAGAAAAAAAAAAAAAGAAAAAAGAAAAAAATATTTCAGAAAGATATACAAGAACTATATCTGAAATTGGAGTCAATAAATACAGACAATAACTAGAAAGAATGAGAACATTCAGACCAAACCACACATCAGTTCTGTGTGGTATCTTCCTTTGTCACTAGTAATACGTTGCTGACACAACATTTAGGACAGAGACCTATACTACGCAATACAGATATTAGGGGCGTTTGTTGGCGGGTAGTGTTAGAAGACCAAGCAGAGTTCAGGTCCCTTAAATATTTCAACATTATTTCTTTGAATAAAAAGGTAAAGGATTCCCACTAGAAAATGCAAAGCTGTGGCAGGGCTTGTCTTAAAAGCCTGGGAGCTCTGTGATCACATGGGACTCACCTTAGCGACAGGTTCTAAGAGTAACAGAAGAAAATAAAGAGTGTGAGAAAGGCCACGTGTGACCAAGGATCAGGCTAATATTAAAAATTTCTACTCAGCCTGTATGAAGGGACAATGCAGAGTGGTTTTTTGTTTCGGTTGATTTCTGAGAGTGGGGAACTGGAGGCTCTGTAGGGCCTGGTAGTTTTTACTTTGGGAATCTCTCAGATCTGCTCACTCAAGATTATTGGCAGAGAGCAAACGTCACGGGAAACGGACATTTCTGTCCAACAGCGAGTCACAGGAGAAGATCAAAAAGATTTGCAGTAGGTTATAGTCTACAAGACTTATTTGTATCATAAAAATTCATTGTGCACATCAAAGATTACAAACTGAAAATACTGTTCTTTCTCCGAGAGCCTACACTCAGAACAGCTGGCACTAAACTTCTAATTTTTTTTTTTTTCCAAACATTCTCTACAATGGTAACTACCAAAGACTAACAGCTAGGAAGTTAGCCCTTTGCTTATCCATAGCTTGAGAAAAGCAAACTTGTTTGATTAAACTGCAAAAAAATACCACCAGTGACACAGGACTTATTTACCAAAGACAAAACATGCTCCATGCATCTCAGTAGCTCCAGCATGGATTACAACCAGAATACAAAAGTTTTCTTGTTTTACTTTTCAAAGGGAAAAATAAAATCCAACTGTTTGGACCTATACTTAAACAAGACAGTTGTGTCCTCAATTCTTTCATGCTCCAAGGGCTGTTAAGCCATAAGGTAATCAGCACTCCAGACCAGGTGCTGGCTGGTATGAGCAGTATCCTACCTCAGGACTCCAGACCATCTGAGGCAGCTGTGGCACATATCAGCCATACATAACACAATGGGCATGTGTCTTCACCGACAGACATTCAGAAGTCAGAAGACAGCAGTAGAAAGGGAGGGGGCTGTATGCAAAAGTCAGAACTCAATTGCAATTTGGCAAAGAAAAATACTGTAATATTATTGATAAAGCCTAATCAATTTTATTTGAAACAAGAAAAAGGAAGCTTTTCCCCTTCTAAGTTTCTACTGATTCATTGCTACCACCTGTTATATTTCTTCCCGTTTTTAGCACAATCAGTATCCAACAGGGAAATTCTTTCAAATTAAGTAGTGTGATAAATTAACATACTATTTGCTATGTTGATGTAACTTATTTTATCGCTATGGTTATGCAAAAGAAAACCGTGTTTATCCTACACTAGCTTTGTTTCCTTCTGACAAGGCTATCTGTCACTGCAGGAAATTCCAAGTTCATAAAACTGGATAGCTGACATTTCCAATATAATATACTTTGTAAGGAGTAACAACCCTCCTAATCAATTTTGCCAATTACATCAGCATTTGTCTTAATACAAAATCACATGAAAGACCAACATGGAGCTCCTGCTAAAAGTCACACAGATCTGGAGAGTAAGACACTGCATCATCATCAGTGTGGAAACACTCAGAATAAGCAAAGTAGCAGGCAATGTAATCCAGACAGAGACAGATGGATAACGAATTCTGTGACTGTAAAGTAAGAGCCAGATCTTTTACAATACAGTGTAAAAGCATCATATTTTATGAAGATTATGAGAAAAGTTTATGCACACACAGCCTTTGAATTTTTAGCTCCAGACTGTAAAACATTTTTTTCTTGGAAAAAACTAAGTTATCTGCAAATTCTTCTTTTTGTATTTGAACAACTGCTTGTCAGCAACCAGATGCAGTTCCACTTTTCTAAATCAAACATTTTTGATGATCTGTTGCAAGCTTTCTTAGAAATACAGGTAAAATTTAAGTAATCATCTTCAGCAGTGAAAAATATGTTTTTCTTCAAGACAGAAGCCTAATTTAGGAATTTCCTTTTTGAGTGTAAGAAAGGACAATTTTGTACTTTGAAAAGTCAACTAAGGTCAAGATTAATATAGCATCCATTAATTAGTTTGTTGATATCATGAAGGCTTTGCTTGTCACTCCACTGATGAATGCGGGAATTTGCAGCTCAGTAGGTAAACATATTTGATACTTCCTTAATCTACTGCACAGCATTTGCTACAGCCAAAAATAAGAGACAAAACAGAATACAGAGTCAAAACAATTTAGGAAACAGATTACTAGTTACAAAGAAATATGAATGAAGAATAGCTTTTAATAATAACATATATTCTGGACTGATGTGTTCCATAAACATTTTCTTTGCTACTGAAAGCCTTCAGGGAACAAATACTTATCTCATACACCTTCCATTCTGCTCAAGTCATTTTACATTTCCACTAGTAGCTCTGCCTTTTATTTCCTTCTGTTCTCCTTGCCTTGGTTAGATTAGAGAGGTAGGATGTTAATAGGGTACTTGATGAAGACTGAAGACCTATTTTCTCCCCCCTCGGAGACCAGCCTGATTTGAACAAATTGAGGAGAGTGAAGCAGTCTCTTTATTTCCTTCGGAAAAGCCTTTTCCATTTCAGCACTTCCAGCTTTCAGACATGGTCCCCTTTGTTCAGAGAGGAAAAAGAAAGAAAAGGTGCCAGCACAAGAAGGTTCTGAATAATTTCGTATAACATCAGTGGAGCTACAAAAGCTGCTCTTTCAATTTCCCCTATGGCTGGTGAGCATGTGAACGCGAGGTGGATCCAGGAGGGGAAAGCAGGGAACCGGTGCTTGCAGCTCGAACAGGGCGAGAAACAAGCTGTTGTCCAACAGTCCCCACCTCTGTTGTTGCCACTTCCTTACTACTCTCATCCTTGTGGGTACTGTTTTGTGCTGGGCACTCAAAATGCACACAGTGAAACACCTGGAGAGAACAAAAAATGAATATAAATCAAAACAATTAAATGCTGGCAAAAGTGTGATCAAAGTAAGATGAAGTCTATACAGAAGTATGCAGGCCAGATCAGTGCCAAAGTACTTAGTCAAACTAGAATGTTTCACCATGAGGTCAAAACCATCTATCCGTGGGCCATAAACATGATGAAGTGATACAAGTGGAGCAAGAGAAGGCCTTCAAATTATACCAGCCTTTACATATGGCACTAAAAATCAGAAAGATGGTTCCAAAGCAGACAGAGATACTTGTAAATTATTTTTTTTTTTCTGTCAGGTAGCATAAATATCTACTACATGCTATTGGATGACAACAACAATTATATTAATTGTCTTAAAAGTATCTTATGATCTAATTACTTCTTCAAAAGACTGAATTTCATAGACTCTAGGAATGAAATTTAAATCATTACCAATATGATTCTATTTCAAGATCCCCCTTTGCTGTAACAGCAATGGTAGCTCTACAGATATATCCTGGAGTATGCAGAAAGGCATTCAGAGTGTCCAAGGAGGCTGCTGCTTCATCAGACGCAATATTCCATTTCAAACAGTGATCATTTTCTGATGTTTCAAACAATACCTGTGACCACTGTACAGGTGACTGTATCTTAGAGTAAGAGGACCATCTGTTCAAGCATTTTTTCCAATTTATTTTCTACTTTACTTACTCTTACTTCTACTTGTTCTTGAAGTGCCTGGGAGGAGAAGGGGGAGGAACTCTTTAAAATTATTACAAAACTTCTTTCCATATGATTTCTCATTGCTACGAATTGCACAGCTTTGCCACATACTAAATAAATATCTTTTCTTATACCGATTTGAAATTTGCTATTTTTTCATGCATTGTAGTTTTATAGCTAAAGCTTGATGAATATTAAAAACTGAATTTTAAAATAATTGTTTTAACTTAATTTTGTATGCTTTTACGACATCTTCTATCATTCTTCTTGCAAGCAGATAATGTCTTTAAAGCTCTTCTCACAAAGGTAATCTCTCATAATCTTAACTGTCCTTTCCCAGACCCTTTCAAGTTAATGTGGGCAAAATCAAATACCATAAACAAGATGTGTATACTACATATTCATACAAGGCTACAGAATATTATATTTTCTATCCTTTCTTCAACACAACCAAAAATCCTATTATTCTCTTTGACCGTCCCTGCTCAAGTGCACATTGAGCAGACATCTGCAATGACATGTCTGCAATAGCCCCTGGGTCTCTTCTGAGGAGCTAGCTAGTTAATTTAAATTCTGACAGCACACATGAAATGAATAAAAAAAAATATTCACAGTCACTTGTTTTTTACCCCTATTATATTTTCTTGTGCCTCTCAGTGTAAGAATTCTTGCAGTTTTTTATACAGATACATAGCAATGCATGTTTATATTTCTATATATAACACACGTTCACATAAAGATGTATCGCTATGCCTTTATATATACACATATGAACAGACTGCAGATCTACACCCATACCCACAGATACACACATGTGCACAAAATGTTTTTTCTCTGCATTTCTTCTGGTGAGTTTTTTTCTAAAGTTGAACTAATTTCTACAGTGGCATGAATTCTCTCCATCTGTTACAGTTCTTGAGAAGTCAATTTTTGCACTCAGCCGCACTTCTTGAGAAATTGCTTTTATACTTATCCCGCTCCCATGTTTTTAAAGTAACAGGTATTGCCTTTTTTCCAGCTGCACGTATCAGCATCAGGATTTGCAGAAAAGAACATTATCTCATCAGTGCACCTCTGTAAGATGCTGCTTTCCTTGAAAGGCAGCACAGTCTAATGAATGGGATGGAGGTCTCCAAGTCAGAAGATTCTATATTGCTACTGTATCCTACACCATGTGTTTCTCATTTAAAACTTCACTTTACATAGTGATGCATGCTTTATAAAATATAGTACGAATATCACCGAAATTTAGCTAATAGAAGCCTACAAATTCTGAAGTACCCGATTCTTACACTGTAACTTTCATTTTTACCGACTTGAGCATATTAAATTACTAATGCTCAGCTTGGCATCTGGCACATTAACAAGCTTGTGAATTGACAACATTATTTTCAGTGACTCTGCCACTTCAACATATAGAGAATGCAGCTTGTGAAATAAGCAGAGAACAGGGAAGTACAACTGAGTTCATCAGCTTCATCCAATATCAGAATTACCTATTTCTGAACAGTATTACTAAACCAAACAATCCTGCATGTGTTTCTCTCAAAAGGCAGAGATGACAGTTCAGCATCATCCTCTGACCAATGGCATGTTATAATTTTTTTTTAATACCATTTCAAGAAAGGTCTGACATACAAAGCTGGAAGGCCAAGTACATACACACTGCTGCAGTAATTTGTAAGATAAAGCTCTCGCATTAGCAACCAGGTGTCCTTTCCAGGTCAGTAATACTGAAGAGGAATAACAGGATAAAGCTTACACAGCCAAAGTATCAGGTGACCTATCTGACAAATAAATGATGACAAGAACTAAGGAAAAATAATCCTTTCCTTTATAAAAGTAGGATGTCTGGAAGCTCAAGAAAACAAAAAGTTACACTTCTATTATGTTCTAACATACCAAAAAATACTAAAATGCCAGGTCAAAAAATCTGTGAACATCATGTCTTTCAAAATTCGGAAAACAAGGCAAAGGAAAAGATGAGTTTAAAAGATAAATAATTCACAAAATGGAGAAATTTTGTGGTTTTTTTTGCAATTCCAAAAATCAACTCTTCCCTTTGGAAAGTATTTTTGTACCTATTACAGTAAAATTCGTTGATGAGAATATGCTGCCATTAGCATCTTTCGTTTAAAATAAGAATAGTTTGACATAAACCACAACCAATTGTGGGTAACTAATTCTGGAAACTACTCGTGGTCTTACGGAAGAGCCTACCAAGACCATAGACTCCAGAACAAACCAAGACTTTGGTTACACTATTATTATGTAAATCAGAAGTATGAAACATACTTACTACCTGCTTTGGAAAATGAAAATTTATGATAAAAAGTTACAGTCTATCTGTTTAATATATATTAAAAAAATAATTTAGTAATATGTGCATGCTGATAATGTTCCTCCTCTACAAGCTTTAGGAGAAATATTTAAAAAAAAAATAGTTAGCATTGGGCACAGATTTTAAAGACAGAAGAGGAAAAGATATAGAACAGCAGCATGTGTTTATAGTTACACTCAGCCACTACATCAATAGCTGTAACCTCAATTTGCACATACGGATCTTCACTGTAGTTACACAGTGCGCCATATAAATAACTACACAGGATATTAAACTCCTTGGAAATAGTAACCAATTTGAAATTAGAATTATGTTTAAAAGCCCATTACTCTTCAGGGGTTAAAGCTACCTTTAAGAATTAAAAGTTGGAGGCAATGTTTCCTGTAGGCTGATTTGCTAAGTTTACACAATGCATCTCATTCTTTCTTAATAAAGCCATGAGAACTTAGAGACTGGCATGAGAGCAAAAGAAGACTGTCTATGTGCACCAGTAATGGAAAAGGCCTTCTTCATGCATGTACAACAACTCTGGAGGCAGCTACTGACTCTAAGAACTCACTGATTAAGACTGAGCTGTACACTGCAAGAGACAGTGTTTAGAAAAAAAAAAAGATTGTTATTCCCAGTTCAGATTGGTCAGCTTCTTTCCAACTGTCTGCTGAGAACTAATGTTGACATCTGGTGGTGCATATGTTTGCAATAGTTGCTCTAAAATTGGACATAAACAATGCTATTTGACAATTCTCCCAATGCTTAAGAACCAGCAACCTCATATGCTAAATACAATCAGAAGTCCTGATGCCTAGAATTGACAAACTCTAATTACTACAAATGCAATAGTGCTATCCAAAGTTCATTGTGAAGTGTGAAAGTACAACGTTTTGTGGTGAACTACAGGTGTGGGATTTAGATATGCATGCATACACACACAAGCAGCAGCTTTTGGTGCCTCTTATAATCTTGTTGTATAAGGTCCTAATCTCACAAAGACTTACATATATTCTTAAATTCACATATTGTAAATTGTTTCACTGAAGACAACTGTAAAATCTAGACTTCATCTGAGACAATACACCACAATTACAAACGACAGAGGCACAGGTAAACAAAAAGAGGATGATACTGCACTTGGTTGGTTAGGGCAAAGTATTTTTTTCTGTACAAAATGAATTGAAAAAAATCTCTTGGTTTGGCCACTATTGGTTAACTGATTTGCCAGTTATGAAAAATAATTATAAGAGAATGTTACGCAAATAAGATTTTCTTATGAAGAAGGAGATTTTTCTTATGTGCTATTCATTAAGAAGATAATATAAAAGTGATAAACCAAGTAATCAGAGACTATACACCTTTTTCTAGTGCACTAAAATGGTATTTTCACCATTCATCAAAATAAGGATTAATTTAAAACCAAACCAAACAGGAATGTTTGATGGCACTGTGGAAAGGTCAAAACCAGAAACAGACCTGCAATAGTCCTTCAACTCCGTAGGGAAGATGATAACACAGTTGACATACTCAAATAAGAAAAGTATTCATTCTTATTTTGCTAGATTGCCAGAGCAAAAAAATGAAGCAAGTACATTTTAGAAAGCATTATCAATTTCACTGCAAGACATGACAAACTGTACTGTTGAATATTCATGAAGAATATAGGTTTTCTTAAAAGTTCCTTACCTCGTTAGCTGTGTTGTGAGTTCCGACTATTCTGATAAAAGATGCAGGCTGTTTATCAAAAGTGATTGTTTGCCAGGATCTACAAAAAAAATTCCAGAAAGACATAGAAATATTAAACACTGTCACAGCAGCTTGCAGTAAAATATACAGAGAATCTATTCAAGTGACAGTACATACTGTTATCACTTAATAGGGCAAACAGAGAAATACTTTTCATCACCTCAACTTCCAACACTCCTTGTTCATTTTTATTTTTAAGTGCCTTGACTCTGCTTAAGTGTTCTCATACATACCTTATACTACTATAATTTGTATGTAGGAATAACACTTATACTGTTGCTGAAAGTTAAGGAAATGGTAAAAGAAAAAAAACCTGAATCAAAGTCTAAAATCCTTGACTAATATTGACTGTATTAGATAAACAAAAGATCAGATAAATAAAAGGAAATGCATCCATCTGTTAACTACTCATGAGAAATTATCAGAGCTTAGTTAAAGAAAATTACAGCTCTAGGGAAAAAACCCACCCAAAACCTCAAATAAACTCCTCCCACTCTACGTGGAGCAGTGGAGGCAGAGGAGCCAAGCTTCCCTTGTGCGGGCCAAGGTCCTTCCAGTAAATTACGAATGAGATAAAGCACTCTTCGCAGTTCAGGTTGTGAGGATTTCCCCATCCTGACACAGAGGCAGTAGGAAGAACAGACCAGCCCCCCTCCAAGCTGGAGTATGACTTTTTGGGCTAGACTGAGAACACCAGAGGTAGACTGAGACCACTATAATCTTCCTTCCTCATTCATACTCTTCTGATCTGGGTGAAGTACAACACAGCAGGAAAAGGACACCAATTCCTACCACACCGTTGTGCTTACAGAACACACTGATATTAAACAGAAGAAACAAGAAGAATAATAGGAACTAGAGGTTTCGGTTTGATGCCAGTATTTTACTACGCTGGATTAGTACTTGAACACATTAGAATTTAAATTATTTTACATTCATAAAACATGAAAGCTAGATACAGAATGTAACAGTGTAGCAAAACTAGACTCTATCACAGAAGGCTTCAGAAATAAAATGTAGTTAAGTATAACTTGATTAACACATTACAGAAGAAAAACATTGGATAGTTTTCCTGAACATGTTCAGAATGCCTTCGGACGTGTTCATATAAGAAATAAGGGACCAAAGCAAAACTGGAATAAAACACCACTCACCACCAGCAGATTACCCCAAAGCCTGGCAGTACGAACAGCTTGGTTGCTAACTATTTGTCAGGCACTTGATTTTTCCCTTAGTAGGAAAACCTCTTTGTCACAAACGTAGCATTTCTTTGTTTCATTTAGCTGACTATTACTTTTATCACTGCTGTCAGGTTATATTTGCTTAAAGAAGATTATGAGCCCAATCAAGACCTAATTTCAAGTAGTTTATTGGTATTACTGCATGAAGTAATAGATGTAATTAGAGGTACTCATCATAATAGAAAGGTGCAGTCTGTGTCAGCCCTCAGAGGTACAACAGTTACCTATCTAATGGCACAGTTTATTTATATCCCTTATGTGGCTATATCCTCCTTACTTTGAAGCTCAAGCTGTTTCTTCAAGCTCTAAATAAAATATAAAATGAGAATGAACCATTTTTTGGACTGTCTCAAGATCTGAAAGATTGCTATGATTTAAACATTTTTTCCCTAAACAGGAGAACAATTCTTCTTGAATTTCCTTCTCATACTACTCTAGTACAGTCAGTCAGTTAATCTTCATGGCCAAACATAACTTGTTATCTTGAAGTATAGAGACCCAACGATGACTGGCTGAGTCAGATGACTGCAACACTACTTCTCCTAACAAAGTATTGCCATAGTTTGCATTATGCATATGTTTTCACATTTACACGCACACACTTTACGCAAGAAGAGCTGTGATGTAAAAATCAGGTTTCCCTATTTAGTGTTTTGGAAAATATTCTAAAGCTCTTCTAAATAAGAGTTTAAAATCCTAAAGAAGCTGTTAAGAACAGCCTATGCCTTCCTAGCTTCTAAGGTAATTTGTGTTCTGTGACAAGAAAATAGGTTAATTAGGGATCATAGAATAGAATATAAATGAGTCTGTATTTATAGTACTTCTGAGCACTGGTCAAACACACACTGCAAGAGTTCAGTGCAGATTTTCTAAAGATGGCAGTAAATGCTACGAAGTGACAAGGAAGCTGATGCATCTATTTGGGAATACAGCTGAAGAGCATGACAGAGATTAAGTGAGGCTGAGAAAAAGGCCTCTGAAGATCCTTTTGACAACACACTTCTAGACCAGCTGCTCCAGGAAGCTCCTAAGTTCTTCCACTTCCCACTGCATTACAAATCCTTACTTTCTGCTACAATACTGTTATAGGATTGGAATATAATTACCCTTTTAATAATATTAAAACATGATAGAAAACAGTAAAAAAAAAGTTATTGAGGATGTGAAATAGGAAGGGAGATAGAGTTTTCAATAAATCTGCTCCTAAGAATATTTACTGGTTTGGTATGTGTCCATTTTATTCCTTTCCCCTTGGGAAAAGAGAGTCAAAATTATAGACAATTTGTAGAAGAGTTATTAAAATTTAAGTTATTAAAATGCAAGAATATTGCCACTAGAGAATTAGTACTTGATGGGGTAATGAGAAAATTAGGTCCCTCCATTTTTTCCCTTTTTGCTAAGGAAATAAACTAAGTAGAAAACAACCTAAATGGATTTGGAAAAAGTCACTTTTGAAATAAGCATGGCAAACCTTCTTCACTAGAAAATTGTACTGTTTTTGACTGTAACAGTACCTTTGAGAACATCAATATATACAAAGCAATACCTCTCCAGTACAGATATAATTATGCAGCAAAGAAGTAATTTATGCAATGTAACTACACCCATATGGGAAGAGAGATTACTGACACAACATTATCAAGGCACATCTGCCCTCTTTTTGCATTTTTTGCTAATATAACAAATTCAGTAAGACTTTTATTTATGTATCAAGCCATAACAATTGTTCAGTGGAGTTCCTCGATTAAATTAAAGACATCACAGGTAAGCCTGAAGTTTCTTTTTCATCTTCTTTTACTACTGGTTATCTCTTCTGGTACTATTGTAATAATTTCAGTTTCTCTATAGAAATTTTATTTTGCAAATTATTTTATAGTCATGTCATTTGTGTAGGAATTCCATGCATATGTGCTTATTTTATACTTTCCTCACAAGAGCTAGTCTTTCTATCCTCAAAATCGCTTTTGATGGTCTTTACAAAAATTTCCTCCAAACTTTATACACAGCTCTGGTATTGATTCATACATAACTCACCGTATTGCAGCAACAGCAGCATTAAAACATATCAAAAGCACCTCATTTTTGGTCCGAGATTAGATAGTTCTGTGTAATAGATGCCATTTCTTCACCTTTACTCCCCATATGCCAAGCAAACAAATCTTTCAAGCTGGAGGTAATACTTTCACCTTCCTTACCTAGGACACGGTCATAAAGAAGCTATCAGAACTTACTTCTCCCATAAACTGACATTGTTGTCTTTGGACTTTCTGTTTCTCTGTACTCCTTATTAGTGACTCTTTAACAAACAGATTTTTCAGGGTTTAGCTTTTTTAAGCTGTATTGCCGGTTGATTCATTTTAGATGCGCTGCTCAATCTGCAGCAATCCTGGTCATCACTTTCACAACAGAAATAATCACTACCTCAAGCTGAGGTTTACAACTCTAAGAGAAGACTTGGGACTAGCAGCCTACTCAGATTTATACCAGAGTCCTCAAGCTGAAATGCAGCACTACAAGTTGTTTGGCTAGCAAAGGTCCCCTGATACCACAGCTCCGTTTTCCAAAAGAAATTAGCCTTGTTACAGTCCTACTGTGTTTTATTTAACGCTCTACATCTCACCTCAGCTACCCGACTTCTAACTCTCTCGTTCTGCCCAGCTCCCCTAAGGAGACGCAGTAATTGATGATTAGCATTCCAAAGCCATGCCTGCATCCTGTGAGCCTGTCATATTTAATCACATTTTAACTATATTCGTCTTCGATAATAGCCTGAACATAATTTAGATAATTATCTTTTGCTCTCTTATTCTCTGACTCTGCCTGCCTCACTTAGAGCTCCTTGCAATAAAAATCACTTTCTTTGTTCAAGCATATGAAGACTCTTGGGCCAAGTGTTTTCATCTCGCCAACAGCAACAGCTGTCACTGAAAACTCAATGGCTTTGTGTATCCCACAATCTCTTCACCATATTCTATTCAGAGGAAACAGAAAATCATCAGAAACCTCTCCACTATCATGTTTCTTCCTGTCTTTTTCTTTATCAGCCAATTGCAAGACGAATGCAAGAAACACTGATGTCCAGGTAAATTAGAACAATAGCTTGCTATTGCTCAAGCTAACTATAGCTCCAAAACACCAATTCACCTCTGAAAGAATTTAATGGTTCTTCTCTGCATTTGGAATCCTTGCCCAATTATTCCTATGAAAAGCTGCTATCTTTCTAAAGATCTATTGCATATAATAGGATATAAATAGTGACCCTTTCCCATTATTTCCTTCTCTTCCAGAAAGAAAAAATTAAGAAAGAAGTGGAAGCTTATCTTTTATTGAGGTTTTCTAATGAGCCACTGGCACTACAGAATACTAGCACACTGTGGGATCACCAGAGCAGCACTGATTATAGCTGAAACCAAGTTCAGGCCAAAAATGTAAGACAAAAGAGAAAGCTGTAACACGTAACTAACATTCATCAAGCTGTAACAACCATATCATATTCATATCATGGCTTGCTTTAGGTTAAGCATGTATATTTTGTGTGTGCACACTGTGCCTCCTCACTTTCTAAGGTGACATACAACCTCCATTTTTTGCTCCTCACTCCAAGAAGAAAAGCAAAGCAGAGTTGGAAGCAAGTGTGAAAATGAAGACCACACTCTGAAAAATGTCAATTACCAGCCAGTAACCTCCATTTTGCTTTCTAATACTTGTCCACATAGGCCTCGTGACAAAACACTTCTTAGATTATTTGGATGTGGACTTTTTCAACTCTGACTACATA